TGAACCTCATACAACTGGCCTCACCCCACAGACCCAGCCTGTCCAGATCCCTCCGTAAAGTCTCCCTATCTTCAAGCAGGTCAACACTCCTGCCTAACATGATATTGTCTGCAAACTTGCTGAGAGTGCACTTGATTCCGTTATCCATATCATTGATAAAGATATTAAACTGACTGACCCCCAATACTGAGCCCTAGGGTGATTTAATCTGCTTTGGACATGCTAATTTTAGAATGCAGACTTGTTCAAATTTCTTTTATTCTGCAGTTACTCTTCTGGTTACCTCAGACCTCTGAGGACTAGTAGCCAGTCACAGCTATTACTACTCAGGTCTGATACTACTCAGTATCTTCATAAAGGACCTGGATAACAGGGCCGAAAGAACTCCACCTGTGTCAGCCACATGGATCATAGCAAACTGGGAGATAGTATCGATACAACAGAAGAAAGGGCCACCACTCAAAGAGACCTACACAAGACTGGAAGATTAGGTCAGAATATGCTGCATGAAGTTTAACAAAGATGGAGAGATCCCAAGCAGCAGTACAGGCTGGGGTATGACTGGCTGTGGTGCACCTGCAGAAAAAGACCTGTGGATCCTGGTGGACAAGAGTTTGAATATGAACATTAAAGCCATCCTTAGAGCAATGAAGGCAAACCATACCCTGGGTTGCAGCATCCAGAGTACAGCCAGCACATCCAGGGATACAACTACTCAACACTTTTCAGCCACAGCTAGGACATCGTGTCTCTTTTTGGTCCCTACAATTCAAGATACACTAAAAAATCGAGGGGCTTCAGGGGCCACCAAGGGCAACATCAAGATGGAGAATGGTTGGAAAATTTTAAATGAGGGAAGGTTACAGGAATTAGATTTATTCAGCTTACAGAAGTATAGAAGTGTGGGTAGCTATCACAACCTTCCAGTGCTTAACAGGTCAACATAGAGAAGATGAATGTGTTCCCTTCACAAGGATCAGGTGACAGGACAAAAGGATATTGGCACAAGCTGCTTCAGGGGAAAGTCTCTCACAACATAAGAAAAAAAATCCTCACTGTGGGAAGAGTTAAACAATGGTTGCCCAGAAAGGTGCTTTTATCTTTCTTATTGGAAACATTAACACTCAGCTTGACAGGTCCTTGCATAAACTAATCTAAGACCTGGCTTTCAACAGGAGGTTGGATCAAGCAGTCAAAATCAAATGGAAATCAAGACAACCAACAACATTAAGATTCTGGTTAAAAGGATAAAATACTGTAGCTTTCTGATAATGCTCTTTACACAATGGCTTTGTTGAAACCCTCAAATTGACTATTCAAGCTGTTGACTCATTGTATCAATTATGGGAAAAGTTTTATTACCCAACAGATGGAAAACTGAGTCAACTAAGGGAAAACTGGGTCTTTGCCCAGGTGTATAATCATTTCTGAAGAACTGAGGGGAGACTCACCCCAAGAAAGAATATTACTGACAGCTTCCTCAAAGCTTCATCCATGCCCAAGTCAACACAGTGACTTGGCTCACACCCCAGAAAATTCCCATCCTCTTTTGCTTCTCCATACACAATTCTGAAACAGCTACTCTGCCTTACTGCACAACAGGTACACTCTGAAATTTGGAATATTATTTTCATTGGACATATAAATAACTTCTCTTTAAGCATTACTTCTTCAGGATTCTTTGTTTGGCATTGTCTCAGATCTCATGATGCCCACAACTCCCTGAATAATTAGAAGAACAACCCTTACTGTAAGGACAGAAGTCTAAATGGGGCTTGCTGTCACTGAATGAGATCCCTCAACTAATGTCAAACACTGGTGTCACAGGGCTGTAATTGCCCACCTAGTCACAATTTTTTCAAGGTTGGGAGGAAACTGTCAACATTTCCAGCATTTCCTTTCATCTGCCACTGTTTTCTTCTCAGCAAGTCACTGTTCTAACTCTGAAATAAGACCTTCATGGAAGTTGCAAGTAATAGCATAAATTAAACCACACATGGCACCACAGGAATGGGAAACACAAGCTACAGACAAGAAAATAGATGATAATAAGGCATATTTTATAGCACCTCGGAATATGCTTTCTTCTGTAAGCATATTAAGTGTGCTACATATTTCTCTGAACAGCTAATCCAATCCCCCAAACTGAATACCAAAGAACATTACCTTTCTTATTATTCCAGCAAAATCAGAAGAGGTTTCTGTTTAAGCTTCTTAACCACTGGAACTTCACAGTCCTTGCAGCCCAAATCCTAACTAGGTGTTCAGAAGACTTCAGGAAGCTACTCTTTAGGTGGAATCTAAGAATTCTCTCTTAAAATGCATCCAGGATTGCACTCATTTATAAATGTTTTTCAGTTTTTTTCTGTATGTAAAATCATGAATCCTCATGTATCTCCTAGGCTGATGTTTTGTTGAACAACACAGCAGCTGATCCAGATATCAAGTTTGCGTATAAATGTATGATGTTCAATTAAGCTTTTTACATAGTCTTGGGAAGGAGGAGGGGGAATAAACACATTATACCTGTGCAATAAAGTTACTCAGGTGCAATGTAAAACCCTTATTATGTACTTTCACTAACAACCTGGAACTGCAATATCATTAAAGTGGAATTCTACTGTTTATTTCTATCATAAAAAAAAGAATTGAATCAATTTTAAAAGGCCTGCTAGTATCTAAATATGTACATTTTAAATACATAAGCATACAGAGAACTCAAGAGTATGTATTAATAACATAGCCTAATTACAAGCCTAACTACATATGCAAGTATAGAGAAACAAACCTCCAAAGGCTGTGCATGATAATGATCTGTAGGATCCTTTAGTTCTGCAGCTTCTTTCATCAAACGTTTGACAGCTGAAAAAGAGAAATTGGAAGACGTGAAAATAAAGAAAATTTAAAACATATTGTAGATATATACATAAACCTCCATATACACACGTAGAAATATAGACATTCCTTGAAGCACTCCTTTCAGCAAACTACTCTTTTTTAGCACATCCCAGCTTCTTCACTGCAGTTAATAAGTCAAGACACAATATAAATTAGTCACGCTGAATAAATTTTAAATGGGTTATATAAGCACAAAGTTATGAAAAATAGTTGGCAGGGTCACAGTTTCTCAACACTGAACACTGGGGCTAAAGTAATTTTATGCTAAACATATCAAAGACATGAGGAAAAACAGATGCCATTAACAGTTTCAGACTTTAAATACAAGATGTACAAGACTAATAATCTCAGTATTTTATCATAAAGGACATCATGTGCAACTTGAAAGAAACTGCTGAAAAGCTTTATCCTGACAGCTCCTGTGGCTATTACATGACTACCTTAATTATTCCAAAGGAGGTCACAGTAAGATTTGTGAGAAACCAACACACTAGTGATAGCAGGAGATGAAGTTTCATAACAGATTTGAAAACGCAGATGCCCAGACAGAAAAGTTTACCCAGGGTCTTTGCAATTTGAACCTACTACTGAGGTACACACAGTTGTTTTTCTGCCTAAATTCAGGACAGTTGTTAGTTACCCTTGCCAATCTTCTACTTCTGAACCACTGGCACCATCTGTATTTTCCTCATCTCTTTCTTCCTTCCCCTTTAGTAAGTTCAGTTGCATCACTTGTCCTGCCAGGTGCCCTCATGTGGATCACGCACTAATGTCTAATAAAGAACCCAGCCGAACTGAAGGGCAGATTAAACATATGAACTACAGACAAGGAATTCAAGGGTGCTGCCCCATGAATAAAGTTAGACAGAAAGTTCTTACTCTCTCCTGCTTACTGGAAAAAGTACAAAAGCCAGTTATCTCTTTAAGAAACTACACAAGAACAGGATCCCTTAATCCATTCTCCATATTCAGTCAAAACTATGGATGTTCCTCCTACTCGTGGCATTATCTAACTACAAAGAAGGAGAAACACTGCCCAAATTCCCTTATAGTGTAAGCATAAAGACATGGTGAAAATGAACCATAGTTTCTTGATTTGCAAGGATCACCAGCTGACTGTAGGCTGGTTAGCATGCCCAGGCTCCAGACTTTACTAATTTTCATGATGCCATGAGGGAAGCTACTCCAACCTTCCTGCAGAGAAATGTTGATTCACTTGGTGATGAGCTGCTGAGTAACAGTTTGCCTCCATCTGTATTAAGGTTTACCAGTTCATTAGCAAGTAATAATAAGAAAACCAGCCTGGAACCAGAAAAGGCTTTGGACCCAGTACTGCTTCACAGCCAACAAGCCTGGACACTTGCTTTCAGAAGAAGAGTGGCATGCAACAGGGTGGGTAAATTCAGCAGTGAACAGCCCACAAAGCAAAAGGGTAACAGTGAGAAAAGTCAGAACAACTATAACCAAGCCAAGCAAAAACAGAATAGTTGTGAACAAGGTAGACAAGGCAACTCTTACTCAGATTTCCCAGACGAGGGACCAAGATAGAAAACACATACAGCCCCCCCATGTCAGCATCATGTGCAGTTACTCACGTTAACTGGGGGAAAGCCAACTATTAGAGGGGAAAACAAAAAGAAAATTCAAGACCGCTCTACAAAAGCCTACCAACACTCAGAGAAAGGTTTGCACTCAGCCTAAAAGTGGGCACAGGACCTTTGGCAGTGCATGCTGGCACTTCGGATCTACCCCAAAAGGAATGGCCTTTCTGAGGCTGTCCCCCTGCTTGCCAAGTGCCAGCAGCAGGCAGGCACAACAGAGAAACCAAGGGTTTACACCAAGGAGTAACAGAGAGAGCAGCTGGGTGGGCCCCTGTTAAGTAGAATTCAAAACAGAAGCAGTTTAAAGGATGAGGGTTTACCATATTTTCTGTATTTAATTAACAGTGACAGTGATACTATATGTATTTTTTCATAGCATTACTTTATTACCAAGAAGCCAGACTATACATATTTTAAGAAGCCAGCATAAAATATGCTGAAAGAATATTAATTCTTGGAGCGTAAAATATAGCAAAATATGTAATTTTGCTTCTTTACACCACAGAGATAATTTCCTTATAAGAAATTTTCAGTGTCAAGCAATCCAGGTTCTCCTAAGAAAACAAAGTACATTTATGTGAAAAAAGGCTGAAAGAGTCGGGGTTGCTCAGCTAGGAGAACAGAAGGCTCTGAGGAGAACCTTACTGTGGCCTTTCAATACTTACAAAGGGTTTATAAAAAAAACGAGATAGACTTTCTACCATGGCTTGTAGTGACAGGACACGTGGAAATTGTTTTAAGTTGAAAGAGGGTAGGTTGCCCAGAGAAGCTGTGGATGCTCTATCACCAGAAGTGTCAAAGGTCAGGTTGGACAGGGCTTTGTGCAACCTGATCTAGTGGAAAATGCCCCTGCCCATGGCAGGGAGGGTGGAACTAAGATGATCTTTGGAGGTCCCTACTAACCCAAACAATTCTGTGATTTTCTTTCCACACTGCTGAAAAATACCAACTGACAGACTGCAAAGAACAAGCCTGGACTTAATTCTGAGAACCTGTGATTCAATGGAGGAAGCATTAAATTGTTCCTCCTTTAAGCACAGCTGCAGTATTATGAACACAGTCCCTCTTCCTGCTACTGAAAACCACAACGGAAAAAACAAAAGTAAAGGCTGCCTACAACAAGTACACAACATCTTTATCCAAACTTCATTAAAAAGAGTTTTGATGCAAAAATATGTTATTGCAACCCACTTAATCACACTGAGTCATCTGAGTAAATGCTTGACAATGACAATTCTGAAAAATGAGAACAGTCTGGGCCTGTTCAAAATAAAGAATTGCAAACAGTCTATAAAAGTTTAAAAGTATCATTCGAAAAAAAAAAAAAAATCCAATTCAAGACATTCAATTTGTCACAGACAGGTTTCAGAGACAAAATAATCAACGTATTTTTCATGTGGCATGACTGCCAGCACACAAAATAGCCATGCTTTCACAGGTACACTCAGGTAACAACTTATCATTATGTTCACTGAAACTAAACACTGAGGACATGAAGTTTCTGGGCTAACTCTAGAGAAAGAAGGGGAGTTCCCACTCTGGCAGAAGATGTCTCCACTGCTCCAGGGAGGAAAGAGCAGGTGCTATGGGCCAGAGGCTCTGCCTGCCAATCTGCCTCTTCTATGATGCCAAAGTTGACAAATTTTTCTGAAAAGTAAAACACAGAAGTTCAAAATCTGAGAAAAAAATTTAAAGCCACCAGTTTGCTTTAGGATTGAGCGGCAGTGGAATAACACAATTAATAAGGAAAATTCATGTAGCATAGGTGTGTATGATTTGAGGATTTATTTCTGTCAAAGACAGTGTTTTTTTTAATGTTTATCTTAAACTATCCTGAAATTTCTGCTCAACACAACTGCTTCTCTTGCTTATATCTTGAAGTCATATTCAAGTAGCCCTGTTATCATGCCCAACTAGACCAGCTGGTAGTCTTCTGTACTTAATAAGGAAGGATTTTAGTTTAATATGGAAGGATTTTAGTTCATTCTTACATTACCAGTGAAAAGTACATGTGGTAATCAAATGAGCTGAGGTTACATTAGCGTAAACATAACGCACAACACTGCAACAGGATTTATTTCAGCACAGCAAAGTTGCATGTCTCTTGCTCACCAGAAGTGCAGAAAATGGGATAGAAGCTCTAACTCCCTCCAACACTAAAAAGTTCTCATTTTATGGTCATCTTTTGTAATGAGACAAAATAATTGCTCTTACAAAACCAAAACGTGAGGTTGCAGAACAACTGTGTGGGGCAACCATAGGTTCCAAAATGACTTTTATTTTAAAATTTGGGTTGAGAGTTCCTTTGACTTCCACCACAGAAGAAATGGAAACACTACTTGCCAAGAGACAGGCCAGCTGCTTTCCATCTTTAGGGTCTCAGATACATCCTTTCCCAAGACCCATAAGCCTCCTGAATTGTAGTCTTACATCTTCACAGCCTCACATATGTCCTTTTGCAAGACCCGCAAGCCTCTTGTGCTCATGTGACGTATTGACAATTGTATAAAGAAAATAAAAAAATAAAAAAAAAAAAGAAACCCCACCTTTTAATTAGTCTAATTCTTTCCTTCCTCTGCCCTCAGAAATAACAGACCTTTTGTTGTTTCCCTCAGAGTAGCAGAAAGTACTGTACTTTTCCTGTAGTTACGATTCAAAACAACTGCTCAGTCAAAGGGACTGACAAAGGGAAATAGAACTTAGCAAATGTAAGGTGCTTGTTGAACACACTAAGATGAAACACTGTTTTCATCTTTAATAAATTTTTTAAATCCATTCAACTTTTTATTTTTAAAAAACTCTATCTTTATTTCATACACTGAAGGTACTAGGCAGCACAGTACCTATGTTTTTTATTAACAAAGAACTGATGCATGCTTGTTGACAAGGAACACTTCTTACTTGTGAGAAGTATAATTTGTAGAAAAGGCAGTAAATGTATTGAAGATGACATCTAAGAGGATCACAATCTCAGCATGTTACATTCCCTGCACATCCAAGATCCAAAAGCACTGTCCCAGGGCAGCAAACGCAGGACCCGTGGGCTGTGCCTCCCTCCATGTGCCTTCCCCAGTCCTCCAGTGCCCTGTCACTAGTCACATTCTAGACAAGGTGGTCTACTGAAAGCAGACAAAAAACCCACCCAAAACAAAATAAAAAAGCACCATTGTTTGTGGGCTCTACAGGAGCTGCTGTAAATAGCTGTTCAGACTCGAGTGTGTCTGTGCTGATACCCCCCTAGAAGACCGGTAACATCCTACGTGAAAGGAGGAGATAGTCACTACAAAAACAGTGACTACAAGATTTAGTGTCTGATCTTGCAGCAGGCTGAAGGTCACAGCCCTTGGGGGGGGGGGGGGG